GTTGCTATGTTTAGCGGTTTTGTTAGAAAAAGGAACTGAAGACGAGCAATTTAATTCGGCTATGGCATTGATGGAGATTACAGCTGTGGCAGAGCTGGATTCTGAATTGAGAAGGTCTGCATTCAAGCCCAATTCTCATGCTTGTAAGCTCATTGTCGACCAGCTCTTGAAGATTACCGAGCAGGCTGATTCGAAACCGCTAATTCCTTGTATCAAGGCCATCGGTAATTTGGCTAGGACATTTCGAGCAGCAGAGACAAGAATGATTGCCCCTTTGGTTAAACTCTGGATGAAAGCTCTTTTGCTGATATTTCCAAGGAGGCTGCAATTGCACTTACCAAGTTCGTTTGCAGTGACAACTATTTGCATCTTGATTACTCCAAGGCAATCATTAGTGCAGGAGGTGCAAAGCATTTGGTCCAGCTTGTATATTTCGGGGAACAAATTGTTAAACTCCCAGCATTACTTCTCCTGTGCTACATTACCCACCATGTACCCGACAGCGACGAACTCACGCAAGCTGAAGTCCTCTCGGTGCTCGAATGGGCGTCCAAGCAAACCAGCATGGTCCAGAATGAAACCGAAAGCATGCTTTTACAAGAGGCCAAAAGTAGATTGGGATTGTATCCATCTAGAGGTTCAAGGAGGTTTCATTGATTCAATCACCCATCCGGTGAAACCGAAAGTACGCTTCTACGATACCCCATCATCGTATTCATGATTCGAATGGAGTGTACATAGATTTACAGGTCTCGCAATACATCATATGTAGTACTTTGACTTGGTGATATTACCTATATGTCTTTTGCAATAGCTTTTGAATTTTGTTTATTTGTTTTTATTCCAGAAAGTTGAAGTTTGGCTTAACTGATGCTAGTAAGCTCATTGTCGACCAGCTGTTGAAGATTACATCGACTCCGACATGTTCTGTTCCGCAGATTGTACCTCTGTGTTTGAAGATTCGGGTTCGAGTCCTTCCGACAAGTCGATACCGCTTCAGACGAGAAAATGAAACTAATGAAGAGCATCCGGGGATGCTAATTTGCTCTCAGAAAAAAGCACAAGGGCAATGCATTTAACTTTATGCACATGTGAGTGCATTCATTTTGTTCAAACAACCTTTTTTTATCAACAAAGTTGGTGATCTTATCCTCAAAAGGAATTATTTTATTGCAAAAATAGGGTAACGGACAATTTTGAGACGATAAACACACTAAAGCAAAGCTAGCCCATGTTAATGAATTAAGAATTTGTGTAAAGGCAGAGCATAAATAAACACACATGAGCCTTCAACCCATACCATTTTCTGGTAAGGCAAAGCTAAAGGAGGGGCCTCATGTTACACTGCCTTTTCCATTTCCCACATCGGTCTTTTGACCAATAAGATTTTTTTTCAAACAACAATATTTTACTGATTTTACCTTAAAATCAACTTTTTTAATACAAATATTACATCAAATGATCTATTATAATTAGGGGTGGGCACGGGAAGTGGTGAGTCGGTTTTTTTTTTGTTGTCTTGACCTTGATCCGAAAATATAAAACTTATATTCGATCCCGTCTTGCCCCAATTTTTAAAATAAAACCTTGATCCTAATCTAAATCGATCCAACCTGAATATTATTATTTAAAATAATAAAATAATATATTTTATAATAATTTATTATATTTGAATAATTAAATAACATATTTTAACACTAAAAATAAAAATATTTAAAATATTAAATAATATATATATACAACTTATTTTTTGAGTGAATATATCTCATTTCCTAATATTAATCTCAACCTTTAAATTTGCTCATCCAACAATCCTAAAGACGTGTAAAATTAAAAAAGTTTCACACAGTATAATAGGATCCTACACCTATATATACAAGGGTTTATATTGAATCGAGTTAGATTGGTGATTTTTCACCTTAACCTTGATCTCGTCCCGCCCTGAACCTACTTATTATATAACCCTCCCTTCTTCGAATCTCAAAATTTCAAAAAAAAAAATGCCCCTACAGGATTAGATGGAGTCACAACCCGTCAGATTCGAGTATTCTCACCATCTCTAGTTATAATCCAGAGGTCATCGCTACCGTTATCCCTACTTTGTAATCAATTTATTTACATCAAACAGATTCAAGCAGAACTTTTTCCCAAAAGATTGTTTTTTGCTATAAAAATCATGATAAACGATGACACTAAAACTTTATTAAAGAACGATGGATTACCAAAAGGAAAAAAAATGCAGCAAAAGGTAGACGAAGTGGTCTACGATTTTAAAAGAAAAAATCTTATCTACACGGCATACCGCACATCCATGGAGATGGTGACGGAACTAATATATATACACACCGATTCTGCTTATAAATTTGATACGCACTTAATGATAAGTTTCATCAAGTTATGATCGTATATTAATGCACATTGCTAATTTGATCGAAGAACATGCTTTGTTCTTGCAAGATACAGTTTTCCAGTCGCCTTGGTCGCATCAGACAACAGATTAAGATGGGATTAGACATGCAAGTTGAGGATTAAGTGCTTAAGCCATTATTATAAGAAATATGCTGTCTTTACTACGTTTTTTTTTTTGCCATTAGTGGACACCATCTACTTTTGTTAATCGGCCAGACTTTTAGCCACAAAGTTGTTCATTTGCACAAGTTGGGATTTAAATAGGATGCTGCTGTGTAATCTGAGAGTGTTCAATGAGAATATGATTTTTTTTTGGTTTGGAAGTTAAATAAAGCTTATAAAAACATGTTGTCGTATGCAAGAAAATGTTTTTGCTTAAATTGTCAGGTTGCTTTATGGGAAAACTTGTTGGCTTTCACAATTGGAATTGCATTTCATTACAATATAAAAATGAAAAAAAAAGGAAAAGCTAGTTAATAGGACGAGGGGCCAATGAAGCAGAGAAATAACAATGAGGTGGTCATCAGTGCATGTCTACTACCAAGTAGAACTAAGCTGACTAAAGCTCGAATTTGACTCGAAACCCGAAATTTAAAGTTCGAATCGATTTTCTTTATGAAATATCTCAACCATGATGTGTTCATACTTATCGAGTTGAAGTCGACGAATAATTAAAACCCAAGATTTTGCATATATATAGGAGAAGAAGAGCACACAATTAGAATCCCCACTACTACCAGCACTCAACTGCTTGGCTCCTGTTCTTCTTCTTCCTTGAACACCCTTCAACTGCATTGCACCACTTTCAAAATCTGCTTTGTTTAATCCAAGTTCCTTTCTTTTTTAACTGTCATAGCGTTTCATTTTAGATAAGTCTTCCATGGCTTGGTTCTGTTGTTATCACCATTCTATTATCATGATCTTGAGCTTTGTTCTTGTCTTGTTTGGACAAGGTAATGGGGGATATATGCTTTTTCTGAATCTGGGTTGTTTTGTTTGCATTTCGTAAAGTTTTCTGAATCTTGTTTCTCTGTTTTCCTCTGATTAATTTTTCAGGTTCAACGGCTGCAACTTTCACATTCATCAATAGATGTCATCACACAATATGGCCTGGAATTCTAGCTAATCCAGGGAGCCCAAAACTAGAAAGTACAGGCTTTGAGCTCGCAAAAGGCGGCTCGCGTTCTTTCGAAGCTCCTTCGGGTGGTCCGGTCGCTTCTGGGGCAGAACAGGCTGCGATTTTGATGACTCCGGTCACGGATCATGCACTACTGGTGACTGCGGCTCCGGCCAAGTTGAATGCAATGGAGCAGGGGCAACCCCGCCAGCCACTTTGGCCGAGTTTACTCTCGGTTCAGGGGCACCGGACTTCTATGACGTCAGCCTGGTCGATGGTTACAACTTGCCTTTGCTTGTGCAAGGAAGTGGAGGCTCAGGAGACTGTGCCATTACCGGCTGTGTGACGAATTTGAACAAAAAGTGCCCATCCGAGCTTAGAATCAACGGGGGCGGCGCCTGTAGGAGCGCCTGTGACGCCTTCGGGAACCCGGAGTACTGCTGTAAAGATGCCTACAGTAGTCCAGCTGCTTGTAAACCATCCATGTATTCGGAAGTTCAAGGCAGCTTGTCCCAAATCCTATAGCTATGCATTTGATGATGCCAGCAGCACTTTCACATGCACCGGGGCTGACTATACCATCACTTTCTGTCCCAGTGGTCCAAGGTAAATTTCCAAAACAAAAACTTGATTGTTTATACAATTTGATAGTTGCTATAGATATTTATGTGGCATTTAACTTTGATGAAGTTTGCAAACTTCGAAAGTTCTCGGTCCGAATTCAACCGGAACCACAGTTGAATCCGAGTTGGATCACGATCCCGTTAAGGCGGCTGAAGAGGCCAGTAACTGGCTATCAAATTTTGCCACCGGAGACTCAGCTTCAACCAAACCATCTACCGCAATCCACTTTGGTTTTGCTGCAATTATTTTCTTTTCCTTTCTTCTTGTAGGACAAAATCCAGATTGTAAAGTGTAGAGCTATATATCATTTCCTTTTTCTACTGGATTTGAACTGAATACCTATGGTTCACAGCTAGTGAACTAAAGTGAACGACTCAAGAAAGTAAAAGAAAAAACATATATTTTTGTGCCTTTAAAGGTGCATGATTACCTTTCCTTTGAACGAGATAAGCTTAAAATGGAAAAAAAGTGTACGCTTTGAACGCCATTTTGGTCATTTTGAGTGAACCACCACCAAACATCACATCCTCTATGTCTGCCATTGCTGTGCATCAAAGGTATTGCCTTTTCTGAGCATTCTTAATAAGGAAGACCTAGCAGTTCCAAAAAAGATAGAATCTGAGGAGTACGTGAAGAGCCTGCAAAGTATTAAAGAAAGAAGAGCAAGCATTGAAAAGGAATGTACAAGCTAACCAACAATCAATTAAGCTGAAAGAATAAAAACAAAGAACAGTGACGTGGAAGAGCTGTGACAGTATTATGAAGATGTCGAATCATCACATATTATGCATCAGCGTTTGGTTAGACTTGAGTAACGTGGCAAAATGTTATTGGCAGATGCTTAGTAGGAGTTCATAATACTCCGTACAACTCGTTATCCTGACTCACCATTCCATTCCTACATGATCGAGTATGACAATGAGCAAATCCCAGCACATATTTCCATCTTCACCGAGAAATAAACATATAAAGAGTCTCCATGGGTTCTCTGGATAAAAGGTGATGTTTTTACTTGAAACAAGTGCAAAATTTTGATATGGGGATTTCTCTGGTTGTCTTCTTCCCTTGCTGTTTCTTTTATTTTTCTTCTTCCATATCTCAGCTCAGGATCACAAGCTGTTACCCTTGATGTTGTTGAAGCAAAACACTTGATTCAGTCTGGTTATGTTAATGTTTATATTGATGTCAGGTAACATAACAGGGTTCGGTTCAGTTCTTTGTTCCTTTAAATTCATGTTTGAGAATCATTTCAATTAACAACAGGACAGTGGAAGAATATAAGAAGGGACATGTGGAAGCAGAGAAGATCCTTAATATCCCGTACATGTTCAACACACCTGAAGGTATGGTGAAGAACCCTGAATTCATGAAGGAGGTTTCATCTTTTTGCAAGGTGGAAGATCCTCTCATAGTGGTAATTTCCAAGTTCGAATTCATCTTTTTTTGCCTTTTTTCTCTCTATATAAACGATGTGGGAGTTGAAGGTCGGCTAAGTGCTTTCCTTTTTCTCACAGGACTGCCAAAGTGGGGTGAGATCCCTTCATGCAACAGCTGACCTTCTTAAATGTGTGAGTTTATTCGATTATCATAAAAATCTATTTTCGTACTTAAAATTTTAAAATTTGTCTCTGATGTCGTCAGTCCCTCAAGATTAGAGCCTCGAAGTTTCGGACGGCCGGCAGTAATTAACGATACTCGGGTGATGTTGCAGGGCTTTAAGAATGTGGCCAACATGGGAGGAGGTTATCTTGCTTGGAATGAGAAAGGGTTAGGTATAAAAATGGGAAATAGAAGGTGCAAGAGCCTGCAATATTAGAGGACAAGCCAAAAGAGTTGTGAATGGTGATGGTTTGTTACTCATTCTGTTCACGTTGCTGCGATTAGCGATTCGAATAAGGTAAACTGCAAGTTATGTATTTAAATTATCAGTTTTTGTTCATTTTAGTATTTAAACTTTTAACTTTTTTCAAAATCATACCTTACATTTAGTTTTAATTTCATTTTAATAAATCACAGTTAAAAACTTAACGCGTCTAGTACTTAAACTATTGGTTTTGATTTATTTTAGTACCTAAATTTTTAATTTTTCGAAACTTAATGTTAAATTTTGAAGAGTATACTAAAATGAAACAAAAAATAAATTTTTAAACGGCGGATACTAAATGAAAAAAAAAACTAAACTTTAGGTATAGGTTTGAAAAAATTAAAAGTCTAGATATTAAAACAGACTAAAATTGATAGTTTAGACCCTAAATGTATAATTTACCCTAATTAATAATCCCACGTGTCTCCTGTTTAATTTGCAACCATGAGAACCTTGTACTCTTACTGGCTATATATATTCATGCAGTCTGGTATCTTGTCCACAGACAATTTATGAGGTACATCGATAGTGTATAATGTCAACTCATTCCATCCATGTATCAATTAAAGACGGAATTAAAATTACATATTAAGGTTAAGTTCATAAATGATCCCTGACTATAGTATATTGTTTCATTAAATCTTTAAATTATTAAAAGTTATAAAATGATCATTCTATTATAGAGTGTTACTTTGTTGAGTCACTTGACTATTAAAAGTTATAAAATGGTCACTCAACTATTCATTATATTTCAAACTTGTCCTTTTATGTTAAAAATTGACGGTATTCTAAGTTGAACATTAACCTTCTGAATGCGATATGATAAAATATGACCTCAGAATCTCAAATGACTATCATATCTCAGTCATCATGTTAGCGTTCAACTTAGACAACTACCAATTTTTAACGGAAAATGACGAGTATGGAACATAATTAATAGTCAAGTGACTATTTTGTAGCTTTTAACAGTAGATGAACTTAAATAAAGCAACATTGTATAATCAAAATACTTTTTTGTAACTTCTAATAATCGAGGGACTTAATAAAGTAGTATCATGTAATCGGGGTACAATCTCGAAAATTCTCCGATCAACTCATTGACAATTTAATCTTAAATGGACATATCCAAAATGTATATTATCGTAGAAGCGGTAAGATACATCGAATTGAAGAAAAAAAAAGATTTTAATAGCGTCATGAATGACAACGTTCACGTCCTTATTTATAAACTTGAACAACTAGACATTTGCTCATCACAACCATACATCTCTTTATAATATTATAATATTTTGCATTATTGGACAACCGCCCAACCAATCATTTATTTGCATTATGGGTGGTATTTATGTAATCGCTCTCAATTGAGATAAGTTATACCATTATCATGGATATCATTAAATTTTAAGCGATGGATTATTTAGATTATTAAATTTTTAATTGATTAGATATAATATCAAAAAATATTTTAATATTTAATTGAATAATTAATTTGATTCATTTTTTAAGAATATTTTATCTTTGATATTTATTTTTTAAAATTGAAAAATCTAATATTGACTTGAACATAGTAAAATATCTAATGTGTTTATGCATGAATTTTGCACCTGAAAAATGGAACACGACAATCCAAACCATAGCAAATTATTCTTACATGGCCATATTCAAAATGTATCTTGTCGTAGAAGTGGTAAGATGCATCAAATTGAAACAAACATAAAAGGGAAAAAAAAGGATTTTAATAGCGTAATAAATGACAACATCAATAGAAAAAAAATCAACGAAAAAAATCAACGATTAGGATTTTAAGAGCCGCATTAAGCTTTAGACAAAATCATTGTCTGTCCTTATTTTCGAGCTTCGAATATTCGACGTTTCAAATTTATCCCGGGAAATCGGAGAAACTGTTACCGGCGATGACAACCGCAACTGAACAAGATATAACCACCCCTCTCAGTAAGACTCTACGCCATCTCAACTCTCTTTACTTCTATATGCCGCTACTATTTTCCTTGTTTTCTCTTCTGACTTTCATCCAATCCGATCGACTCATGGGCAGTTCAAAAGTCTCCTTCCACTCAAAACCAACCCGATGGATCCTGTTCAGTTCCGCCGTCGCCGGACGATCTCGAGAATTCTCCGATCGAGGAAGTGGCTCTCACGGTCCCTACTTCGGACGATGCCTCACTCCCTGTTCTCACGTTCCGCACGTGGATTCTGGGCACTCTAGCTTGCCTCCTCCTCTCCTTTCTCAACCAATTCTTCAAGTACCGTCGAGAGCCTCTCTCCATCACCTCCATCTCCGCCCAGATCGCGGTGGTTCCTCTCGGCCACCTCATGGCAGCAACGCTTCCCGATGGAGTCTTCTTCAAAGATCGGAAATTTCAGTTTACTCTTAATCCCGGCCCGTTTAACGTGAAGGAGCACGTCCTTGTCACCATCTTCGCCAATTCCGGAGCGGGAAATGTCTACGCAATTCATTTAGTCACCGCCGTTAAGATCTTTTACAAGAGGAGGTTGTCGTTTCTTTGGCGCTGCTCGTCGTTTTCACCACGCAGGTTCTCGGTTTCGGCTGGGCTGGCATCTTCCGACGATACTGGTGGAACCAGCCGCCATGTGGTGGCCCCAAAATCTAGTCCAAGTTTCCCTCTTCAGGTAAGCAAACATCTTTCTATCCATCCGAGTCAACGGCATCTCTTCCATGAGCTTCGTCCTCGTACTAGAATTGCTGCAAACTCAATGAAATTGAATTACAGGGCATTACACGAGAAAGAAGAAAGAGCCAAGGGCAGATTGACAAGAAACCAGTTTTTCCTCATAGCTTTCACCTGCAGTTTGCTTACTATGTACTTCCAGGATATCTTTTCCCAACTTGACTTCCCTCTCCTGGGTTTGCTGGTTATTTCCACCTTCAGTCCTAGCACACCAGTTAGGTTCAGGACTTCGTGGTTTGGGTATTGGTGCCATTGGATTTGATTGGTCCAGCATATCCTCTTACCTTGGAAGTCCTCTTGCTAGTCCTTGGTTTGCAACCGTAACATTGCCGCCGGTTTTGTCTCATCACTTATATCATCACCCCCATTGCTTATTGTCTCAATCTCTTCAAAGCAAAGAATTTCCCCATATTTTCAGACGGCTTGTTCACTTCTACCGGCCAGAATTACAATATAGAGGCGATCGTAGACCGAAACTTCCACATTGACATGGCGGCATATAAGCGTGAGGTCCTTTGTATCTCAGCATTCTTTGCCATGTTATGGTGTTAGCTTTGCTTGCTTGGCAGCCACTGTTGTCCATGTATCCTTTTTTCATGGGAGGTATGCATCACGAGTCTTAGATCAAATCGCTTGGCCTATAGGCTTTGCTCTTTGAATGCATATGAACATAAACTGATATCTGTCATTTTAGTATGTTCAGTAAGTTAAAAGCGACTTATATTAATGGTGCAGAGAAATTTGGCACCTAAGCAAGTCTTCCTTACAAGAGAAGAGGATGGATGTTCATACGAAGCTGATGAGAAGATACAAGCAAACCTGAATGGTGGTTTACGTGCATCCTTGTAGTGAACATTGTAGCAACCATATTTATATGCCGGTATTACAGTGATCAACTCCAGTTGCCATGGTGGGGTGTTTTGTTAGCTTGTGGTCTAGCCATTTTTTTCACTCTCCCTGTCGGAGTTATTACCGCGACAACAAATCAGGTATAGCCTTGCTATTTCAGAAACTAGTGTTTTGTGTAAGAATATGATTATTTGGAGTATCCGTGCTTTTTCTTCATCGTCTGACAAATAGCTAGTTGATTTCACCATGTATTCTGTAGTTTGATTTTCAGTAGTTTAACATGGGCAAATTTTCTTTTGAAGACACCAGGTTTGAATGTGATTACAGAATATATCATTGGCTACATATACCCAGGGTACCCTGTTGCAAATATGGCTTTTAAAGTGTATGGTTACATAAGTCTGAAACAAGGGATTACCTTTTTGCAAGACTTCAAACTTGGCCACTACATGAAGATTCCTCCGAGATCCATGTTCATAGCTCAGGTTCACCTCTTGATACTTCCTTACTAACAACAAGGGGCGAAAAGCAGCTCTTTTTAAGATGTTTCCTCCTGTAGATAGCTTGTCCGTCCCCTCATGGTATGATTTTCTTATCAGGTGGGTGGTACGATAATAGCTGCATTAGCATCTCGGAAAGCGTGGTGGCTTATGATACGGTTCCAGATATATGCAACAGAGATTTGCTTCCATCGGGCAGCCCGTGGACTGTCCCGGTGATCACGTGTTTTACGATGCCTCGGTTATCTGGGGCCTGATAGGACCTAGAAGAATATTTGGCGATCTTGGCTACTACTCTAATATAAACTGGTTCTTCTTAGTTGGGCCACAGCTCCTGTCCTTGTTTGGATTGCATCTAAGGCCTTCCCAACAAGCCATGGATAAAACTTATTACTTTTCCTGTGCTCTTTGGTGCAACACTCGATATGCCGCCGCCACTGCTGTCAACTACACCAGTTGGATTCTTATTGCATTTGCATCTGGTTTTATTGCTTATAGATACTATCGTAGCTGGTGGAGTCGCCATAACTATGTGCTCTCCGGTGCACTTGATGCTGGACTGGCCTTCATGGGGGGTACTTTACTTATGCTTAGGGATGGAGCATGTTGGCCTTAGTTGGTGGTGGTGGTTCGGATCATTGTCCGTTGGCTTCTTGCCCGACTGCTCAAGGGATCATAGTTAAAGGCTGCCCTGTTGTCTGAGACTCTGAGTGAAGCAACAGTAACCTCAAAGCTCCTTCACTTAAAAGATTTGAATGATTCTTCATCCATTGCAGATTGTAAATAAGCATTCGTTCGAGAATGGACCGGGCGAACCGTGCCGATCACTCGCCGTAAGTAATGGAAAGTAGATATAGTTTATATTTGATACACTATCGATGTACCTGATAAATTTTCTGTGGACAAGATACCAGACTGCATGAATAGCCAATAAGACTAAAGCAAGGTTGCAT